GTGAAGGGATGCAACTCCATCCCAGCCAGATCCAGTACACTAGGTCAGACAAGGGTGTTCTTGCAGTGTGTTTCATGAGATTGGAACTTCACCACCACTTCAAATGTAAGCCTTGAAAATGCTGGTTAGCTGTTTTTGCCATTTGAACAAAAACAGATGTAGGGAAGAAATGCTTCTTCTAAATCATGTGAAGTTCAAGCATCTCTTGATAAATATGAGGAAAATGTTCTGTCTGGTTTCAGGGATTTGCTTATTTTCTGTGGATTGTCATGTTTATCGAGTATTAGTCTTACTGCAACTATCAATACTGAACTAGAAATACCTCTTCTTGCTATTCAGGTCAGACCTGAACGTAAATGCACACTTTTATTGTTTGCAGAATTGCTCTGGACTTCCTTGATTCAAAAGATTTTAGCAAGGATTCATATCACCTGAAAGGAGAACCTGCAGTGAAGAAACGACATCTGGAAATGCTGGGTTACCGGGTAGTTCAGGTGAGCAGTCAGCCCTGGTTTTTGTCATTTCTGAATTGTATCAATAGTTCAGTTTGATACATTTGCCTTGCAACAGATTTAAAGATGGTTTTAATAGTTAAAAGCACCTACTGGGTGAGAGCAATTTTTGTATTTGGGGGGAAAATTCCAAGCTGCTCTCAAGATGGCGTAAGGACTTCATAGAACTTGCACCTTCTCAGAAAGTGGCTGCAGCAAAACTGAAAGCAAAAACTCTCAGTCTTACCTTACTGCAGGCAAACTGGCAATCCTGACACAGCTTCAGTAAAGGCAAAAAGGTGAAACCAGAGTTTCAGTTCAGTTCACCAAAGACTTCTGCACTAGAAAAGGATGGAATGTACTCTCCTTGAGTGATAGACAGTTATGGCAGCTGCAAGATGCAGTATGGATGCTGTCTGCCTGCTGCAGTAATAGTGCTGTGACAGGCAAGGCTGGTGGCCAGAGAAAATTCACAGCCACAAGCATAGAAATGTTTGGGTAACGGAGGCTCATGAATACAGATCCTACTGTATACATAATTATTCACCTACTCTAATTTTAGCTAAAATCCTTCTTTAAGCTTGTTTGTTGTTTTATTTTTAGCAGGATAATAATATTTTCTCATATTGCCCTGACAGTAAATGTTATGCTACCAATACACCATTCCAGTTTGATACATTAACATTAGAAACTATGGTGACCTGGGATTCTTCTCTTGATTTGAGTTTCAGAAGTGGGAGGTGTTGTAATGGGGTTGTCATAGCCTGTGTTGTGTGGGCATCTGCTTTACAACTCTGCAACGGTGCTGCTTTTTGGAAGCAAACTGACTGTACTTGCATGAAGAAGAATATTACATTGTGAAATTTAACCTTCTCAGTATTGGAATAAGCATAGCTTTTAGAAAGATAGGTCTAAACCAAGTGAAGAACAAGAGGTATCAGAGAGCCTTGTCTTTGCTGTAAGATAGCATGTGGCTTACACCAATGTTAACACTTGGAATGTATGATTTTGTTATACAGATTCCTCACTTCGAGTGGAATTCTATGGGTCTGTCAACAAAAGCTGAACAGGTAGAATATCTGAGAAAGCATCTCTATGGAACGCAGTGATGTCAGACATGCAGTGAGAAGTACTTTTTTTATAAACACCTTCTGTACCATTAAACTTCTTGTAATCCTGGAATACTTCATTTCAAAGATCTCTTTATCTGTGAGTCAGCTGGACCAGGGCTTGCCATGGGGCATCAACTGGATGTCAAGAGATTTAATCCTCAGTTCATTAGGGATTGCAAAAGGCAGGTCACAGTGGGCATGAAGATGTGGTAAGGATGCTTAAAATCTCCCATTTTCTGGAAGCACGTAAGTCTGTGACAGTTCTGCCATAAAATTACGTTATCTCCTAAATAAATAGCACAGGGGCTTCACCAGACATAAAACTGTCCAAAGAAAAAGTTAGAAATACGCTTGACTGTGAGAGGAGGCAGCAGATCTACTGGAAACTATGTCTGTCCTCCAGCATGTGACAGGATGAGCAATAGGGATCAAACAGTTTCTGTACTGTGAAACCAAGAAACTGAAATGCAGATTCGCTAAGAATAGGCCTGCTATTACATCCATTCTGTTTCCATCCTCCAGAACAGAGGTACTGTGGGTGACTGTGTTGGGGAGGGTGTTGTTCAGTGAGGAACTTCCAGCTGCTTCTGCTACCCTCTCATGTGGTGTGTATGGCTAGACCCTTCTGGAACATCTTCACATACTAAAAGGACAGACTAGTTCTAGAAGTCTGGCAGACCCTTGGAATACCGGCACTTAACTGGGAAGGGATACCTGAAAGGTTTATACAAGATAAGGAGCAAAAAAATGCCTATGTCAGACATAGGCACTTACTAGCAACTGGATCATTCATGAAATTTAGCATTATGGCATTATGCATTGGACCTGCCCTTGCTAATAGAAATAAAATTAGATAAACCAGCTAACCTGCCTGGTCTGTAAATAAGATAATGTACAAAAGAGCAAAGTTAGACTGAAAATTGAAACCAAGAATCAAGACCAAGAAAAGTCTTCATAGTGACACCCACCTTGGTTACTGGTGGTGAAAAACACTGCTGGGTTATCATGTTTGGAAACCATAGGCCAGTTAGCAGTTACCAACTTCCTGTGACTGAGCCCAGCCAGGGTTTGATTCAGGAGGCATGAAATACTGAGATGTAGAAGGAAAAAGTTGGAGTATCCAAGAAGGTGTTCACTGTAGAGCAGTAACTGCAGCATAGCCGTACTTCAATGAATCAGCCAGTTTTCAAAGGCAGCCATGTTGTGACTACAGCTGTCCCCATCTTCTTCACACACGCAACGTGTGTATGTTTTCCCTTTTTAGTAGAAACAATAGACATTCTTTTTACCACTTCCTTTTAAACCTGGCAAAGGTAAGCAATTGCATTCTGAATTGACCATCTGCACCTTGCTGTCACTTTTTTTTTTTACTACTCAGTAGTAGAAGGAGATACTTTTATTGACTGGACATGAATCAGGACACTAGTGAAAAGCCAAGAAAAAAACAACAGAATAGACCTAAGCTGCAAGGAGCTCTCCTCCTGAGGCAGCCCTCACATTTGTGGAATGACTGAAAGAAGTAGTAGATGGCTGCCTGCTTATGGTCTCAAAAGGACAAGGGCTCCAAAACATAGAAGACAAGTGCTTTGAGAAAACATCATTGAAGGCATAACACAGAGAAAGACTCTATGCACATTATGTTTTGTAAAAAAAGGAGTAATCATACATACCAGCTAGGATCTCAGATGGTGGGCTGCAAGTCAGAGGTCTCTTGCATGACCTGGCTTTTGTACAGATGGCCTTCAAGTAGCAACTTCAGAGCCTAAGAAAGGTGGCAGTGGTTGTAGCTAAAGTGATCAGTCATGGGTGGTCATGTGTTTGAGCTGAACCCTGCTTTTCAGGTATCTGGCAGTCATGCTGTGCCAAGCCAGAATCTTCAATTCAAGTCATTTATGAATAAAGTTATGAGCTTTCACAATGGGAAGAGAATTAAAACTTCGTGTGATTGGATTCAGAAAGGGCTTCTACAAAAAGCACAATGTAAGAGCATTTCAGTAAAATGTCCAGCTTTTGATCCTTTGCATTCATTCTTTCTCAATTAAATCAGCAAGTGTTAGAGCAGATGTGCTGGTGTAAGCCAGTGATTTAACTGGAGCCAATGAAAAGATGCCAAGATCAGCTGAAGGTCTGGGTATTAAAGAGGATGAAAAGACATATGTCCCACACACAGATCAAGTACCAGTCCACAGTAACATACTGAAAGGAGCTATGATGGCTGCATCTTTGCCCCATTAACCTCTGTCTCCTAGAAAGGCAATGCAAGGGGTCATTTGGTAATTGGAATTGCTACTTGGTCAGGTGTGGTGGGCTGCTTTTCCAGTTTTCTTGCTACATCAGTTGTAATAAGATTTAGATTTATGACATCCTTTAGATTGATGACACCCACTTTATCCAAGAGTGAAATCCTTCAAAGAGATCCTCTATAGAAATGGTGGGTATAATCTACTTCAAGGAAACTAAGTGCTGTTTTGGGCAAAGGCTGTAGTAAGCAATCTGTGTCCTGCCACTATGACAGTGATGATGAGCTGATCACTAAAAGAGACACCACCAAGTGATAGTTTTATAGTTTTAAAAACAAAGTTTAATTGTTAAAATTTTCAACATCAAAATGCATCAACTCTTTATTAGATGAAAAAGTCCTCTCTGCCGTATTTGCTGATGATCTAGGACTTTTTCATGAGTTCTTGTTAATGGCCTCAGATCTCTGAGAAAAACTTCCATAAAATATTTGCTTTGGAAATAAATATAAAAGCATAAAAAAGTGGAAAAAAACTTGTTACCAGAAGCTTAAACAGTAGATGAGACAGTAGAGCTACTAATCTTGTGACCTCTGCTCTCTTTCCTCTTGTCTGGCTACACTGCTATCTTTGGCTGAGAATGGCATTTCTTAGGCCACGCAGTATTAGCCCACTTTTCAACATGCAACTTCAATTCCAGGCTAAATTATTTTTAGAAGGCTCTAATGAAAATATTTTCAAGATATGGCTGAAGAATGCAGGATTTACATATGTTGCTGAGGGGGAAAATCAGGCTGTACAAACAGCCAATAAGAATAGTATGAGCTACCTACTAGTTATATTTAACTTAACAGTTAATTCATGGGCATTGTTTGGAGGATATATCCTGGATTGTCTGAGCATAAGGAAGTCTTAACTAGTTTTACTGGCAATTCCATAGAGTGAAAAATGGAGTTCTCTCTGAAATCTTCACTTATTCTAATAAACATTAATCAGAATTCTTCAGGACTTAAAACCCTGCAAAAAATCGGTTAGCTAGTAAGACTTGGACAGACAGATGACCTGTTTAACAGTCAATAGTATAACTAGTGTGCTGCTACAAACCTCTGTACAATCTGGGGACATTTCCATGCAACAAAACCAGAAGAGCTTACTGAAACTCCCTCGCCATATCCTGTATTCCAGCATTTTGTTTATAGTTTTGATAACTTGAAGAGGTTTAAGCGAGTGGCCAGGCAGGAGGCTCCAGTAGCATATCGGATCTCTTTCAGTATGCCAATCCATTCCTTCTTTTCATCATCATACCTAGGTTTAACATAACAAGGTCAGAACATAACTTCTAAAAATTTGGGGTTGATACTTCATCACACATAGAATCACAGAATAGTTTGAGTTGCAAAGGACCTTAAGATCATCTAGTTCCAACCCCTCTGCCATGGGTCTGGACACCTCACACTAGACCATGTCACCCAAGAAATACAGGAAATGGAGGACAGTCCACATGTTGCAAAAGCTTATAGCAACCGTCTGCTGAAAGATGGCACAAAAACCTGCTTTTGACCTCTAGAACTAGAGGAAATGCAAGTTGTCCTTTTCCTGGTCCGTAAAGCTTGTTGCTGGCCTGCCACGCTTCTTTAATTACTCCTACAAAAGCTTCTGCCTTGTCTTATGTATCCCTTCTGAATTCCTTCAGATTCTTACATACAAAGATGTTTTTTCTGGGAATCCTTTCTATCCTTCTGCCAGTTAAACTTCTGAATCTAAGTTAGCAACTGAAGAGTCACAGCCAAAGTGTGATGTTTCATCACTGCCACTGAGATTTAGATTTAAAAAAATGATCTACAAGATAGGCATTTCTGATTCTCTTGGAACAATTAATCATTTGACTATTGAGACATGACCATGTACAAACCCCTGTGTATAGAGGCTTTTCTGCATATCATGAAACAGAGAATGTTTTTTTTATGGTACACTTACAAGGCTAAGCCTGCCAAGAAAGACTGGCAATTTACTCTTTTGAAAAGAGTAGAGCATCTGAAGATCATGACTCAGACTGTTTAAATTAGCAGTAGGCAGAAGTAGTTATTAGATCCAAATCTCATGTTTATCTCTTAGTTTCTGACAAACTCAAGAAGTGCTTTGCAACCTGTGCTATGGTTCGTTTCCAGAGTTAAACAGAAAACCTCTATTTTAGATCTAGCTTTCCATCAGGAAAATGTGATTAAAGTGAAACTTACTTCCATATATCAGTGACTTCATTGGGTGCAAATTCTTTAGATTCAAGCTGAATCATTGCAAAGCCTCCAATAGCATACAAAGCTCCACTTAAGGTGACTAAACTGATGGAACTTCTCTCCTGGGGAAATTCAGGCATTATCTCCCACCTAAAGATGAAAAGAAAAACCTAAGTTAGCTAAGACATGACAAATATTCTACAGAGAATTAATTAAAATACACCTCTGGGTGACAAAAATCCAGATACCAAGGACATCTTTGAGTGAATGGTTTAGTAAAAGGAAACAGATCTGGCATTTAGCAGCAGTTTCAGTATCTCCATCCCCACAGGGACTACCCACAAGTCTTAAGTGATGGAACTGCATTGTGATGACATCTCTTACCAGATGTCCACTTCTTGCAGGTTTCTTGGGCCCATCATCAGCAATATGCGTTATACAGATGTTTTGTTCCCCAGCTACTTTCATTTTTTGTCTACAGTTTCCAAAATGCATATCCATGTCAAGTAGCATTGATATAATCATTTGAGTTTAAAAAAAGTCACTGGAGCTTATTAGCATCCTTCCAAGTTTTCTGCCAATTCACACCTAGGAACATATAAACCATACAGACATCCCACTGCTGAATAATGGCAAAATCAAAACTAATAGGCTAATTGGTTTCTCTCACTTGTGTGACTTGATTGTAACAAACCAGAGTAAACCAAGGCAAGAGCCTGCAGTCAGCATCCTCAAGCAGAAGGTATTTCTGAACAGTGGAGGAGAAGACTGCCCAACATCATGGTAACAAAGTGACCTGTACTTTCCTTTGCTTCTATAGGAGCTGTAAAGTCCAAAGTTCCCTCAGAATTACTTCTTGCATAATTCACATTTTGTATTGGTAAACTCTATAAGCAAGTCTCTTTGGGATAGCATACAGTTAAGTTAAAGCTTTTGTTGTGAGGTTGATGGCTGCAATGCCATCTGTCAGTGAAGACAGCCCAGCCACGTGTTTATGTACAGTAGAAGTGCTTGTTGATAAAAGAGCATCCAGGACCACTTACAAGTCTGAGCTATCATAATAAAGCTTTATGGGTATTATTTTAAATGAAAGTTCGTAAGTCAGATGATAGGAAGGAAAAGTAGCAAAAATAACCAAAATGAAAATTAAGAGTAGAAAGACAGATACAGAGGGTATAAACTCCTGGAAAATCATAAACATTTGAGGGATGCTGACTGCAAAAGATCATCTGTGTTGTAAGGAAGAGCACTGGAAAGTTTCTGAACCAAATAAGTGAGCTAATTTCAGGTGGGACTTACTCTTTGTCATTACTTTTTCTTTACAGCAATTCATAGCATGCACTTAAAATTGGAAGTCTTCCTGGAGTTTTCATATTAAATAAATAAGCAGAATTAGCTGCCAGTCAGTAACTAGTAGTAAACAGTATTTGCTGCGACAAGGTACATGAACAGCAAGACATCATGAGGCCACATACCTGAAGGACATTCAGCTAGTCCTGCTCAGGGACCTGATTTCTCTTGCTGGGGGTTCATGTTTAGTGTCAGTGCTGCTTCAACTAGATACTGCGGCCCCTGCCCATCTCTCCCACTTTTCCCCTGTTATGCCAGCACAGATGGCATAATATGGCTGTGTGGTCAACGAGACTGGGAAAGTAATCAGACTTAAAAAAAACCAAGATTAGAGGGTGGGTTATTTTTGCTACTTGAGCTCTTTGATCATGTTTGCAATATAGCTATACTAGCATAGAACATGCACATGGGGGCAGGAAAAATGGCCAGAGATACTGGTTCTTTAAACTGCTGCTGCTGTTGCTATTGCTGTAGATGTGAATGTAGACCAAGTGTCTCAGTGGGAGTATAGGCACTTGAACACCTTTGTGACTCAGCTCAGGGCTCCTAAAAGTGATTTTACCTAGATGGCAAAACCCTTGCCTTAAAATAGCTTGAATGTTGTACTCACTTATTGGTGGTCAGATCAAAAGCTTCAACAGATGCAGTAAGGCCTTCTTCAGTGACACCACCTGCAATGACAATCTTGCCCTTATGGATAGCCGTTCCAAACATTGAGCGAGCCACTTTCATTGGAGCCAGGTCTCTCCAGTCTCCTTTCTTGGGATTGTATACGAACAGTCTATTAGTACATTTCCTGGGGAAGAAAAAAACCTTTATTCATTCTAAGGAACTTTTGGCTTGTTCCAAGCGAGACCTAGTTGAAGTGGATTGTGTGAGTTTAGTATCACACCTCTCTCCCCTCCATGAGATCCTTTTTTGTATCTAATCTGGGAATATTTGCATGTCTACAAAGCACTAATCACATCCATAGAACTAATACTTTCAATGAGGGTCCTCATAGCTATGTATTACTAATGTGTCTGCAATGTAAGTAAAATTTGCCTTGGAATAAGTAGGGTTATTACAATAACTAGTTGGGATTACAAGTTATATGCAATTTTTCCTTGTAATGAAAAAGATATCGTAGGTGCCATAATGTGTTCCCCTCTGCCAAAATGTTAGCAACATTAATCCAGAGATGTAAAAAAGAGCAACCCTAACTTCTGAGGGTGAGAACATATAATCTATAAAGACCAACCAAATAACATTATAAATCATCATGAAAAGACTTAGAGACTCACTTATCATCAGTTTTTCCACCAAGACAATATATCAGTCCATTGTTTGAGATAGTAGCATGGCCATATACTTTGATGGGTAGTTTTTTGATCTCACCCCATTTCATCGCGCTGGAACAAGAAGAGTATCACCGTTAGGATCTTTCAACTAACAATGGGCTAGTTACACGTCCTCAGTGGGCAGAATTAAATTGTCAACATACACAGGATCATAGCACAATCCTGAATCTAGAGACTCCTCTGTGCGAAGATCCTTGCCTGCAATTACATAGATCTTGCTGTCGGACTCTCCCAGCCCAAAGAGACACCTGGCTGACGGCAGTGGAGGAAGGGCAAGCCACTCACCAGCGATGCTATCCAGCTGAAAGAGCATCAGAACAGGAAGTGTTAGGAAAGGCAAATAGTAAAAATTCACACAATGAACACTGTTCCACAAAATTAATCTAACTGCAATCAGTGCCTCCGAACAGCTCATCTGCTTGCTTGAGCAATCTATCCCTCCCTCAGTGCAGCTAGTGATGATGACTTCTCCCCAACTCTGCTTCATGGTGCTGAGAGACAGCAGAGTCAATGCCACACAGCTCTCTTTGCATCTGTTCACCCTCACAGTTTCTCTGCCCCGTTATTAAACTTCTTCCTTGTTTTAAGATCCTTCATTCTAAGTTCCCTATCACATGTTGGAAAGAACAAATTGTTCTTCTTCCTGTCTGAAGAAAGCAGGCACTCCTGCTATTCCACAACTACGCATTTAGCTGGTTGTGCTCATTGCTGCAATGAGAGATGCCAGACATCCTCACACCATTCTTAATCATCAGCAAATGTCACAGATGTTTATTCTGCAACCCCTACAGCAAAAGACATGGTGTTTCATCACAAATACCCTCAAAAGCTCCTGAGATCACTGAAGGTGCAATGCATAAAGTCATCATTCCTAAGCAAAAAAGGCAGGCAGTGCAGCTCCCTTGGCAATAACATTGATGTCATCCCTATTGAAGTACTCCCACGGCTGTTTTGATTCATATTCAGTATGCTGAAAACACCTAAGGAGAAGCAGCAGAAGGAGGACAGAAGAAAGCAAACAAACGAAACAAAACAGTGTTTTTCTAGAACTGTGGTGCTCAATTTTTGTTTTGATCTGAGAACTTGCAATTGAACTTGAATGCTTTCTAACATTGAAAAGAGTATCTATCTTCTCTCTTCTACTGTGTACAGATTTGCTTCATGATGTGCAGGAAGGGAAAGTAAAATGCGAGTTTGCACAAATGTAGAGGCATTTGATAGAAAGCAAGAGAAAGTTCAGTCAAAGCAGTCAGGCCTGGGTTTAGCTCTGTGACAACCTTTTCCAGATGTATGTTTCACAGTCAAGGTCTCCATGCTAAAATGCATCTCCCAGATTTGATAGACCACCCCTGTTGGACACCCCTATTGCTTTATTGCAACAGTGAAATTTAGTTCATGGGATTAGCCCAGCACCTGTATCTGGGTGGTTTAATGAGAAGAAGATGTACCCATCACAGATCACAGCACGCTAGTTAATCACTCTTGAAGATGACGTATCTACTGATACTGGCATAAACTAGTCATGCATTTTTGAGGCAGTGGCAGCCTTGTTTGCTCCTAGGTTGCTACCAAATAAAATGGTAACAAGTGCTCCACTGGTGGAGCAAGGGAGATCACTGAATGCAAATTGGTTTGGCACCACATTACCATTTTAGAGGGAAAAACAGCTACATCGGTATTGCAGAGAAGTGTTTTAACTATAGGCAGTAGCAGCAGCAAGGAAACTTTAAGACGACAAGCAAGAGATCAGGATTTCAGGAAACGTACATAGACACATAAAGTAGAATTCTGAAAACTTTATCAATTTTTAATATCAATCTTCAGGTTAAGTTTTTCAGAGGCCCCTTTCTAGTGGCCTGAGACATGGACTGTTTGTTTCTGGATTATATTATGACATCATATTACATTACGACATCAACACAGTATTTTTATTAGAATAATATTTCTGTAACAAAGTTTGCACTTCAGTGGTCAGTGTTTCACACCTACATGGAAATGAAACAGTGCTAATCCCTCTCCAGCAAACTAAGAATTCCCTCTCATAGGTATAACAAATGCCTGAAACCAGCACTTTCACTGTGTATGAAATTGTAGTAAGCCATACTCGTATGAACACTTAATATTTGGATTTTTTTAATATCTGAAGGCTTTAAAATTCCATCACTGCTTATCACTCTGCTTTATTTCATATTTGAATAAGCACCTACTTTCATTCTCTTAGGCCTAAGGATGGGATGTGGCCAGCAGCATATTGCATAATTCATTAGCAGATAGTTTAAATATTCCCCCAAGCATGTAGGCAGGTAGCTCAAACCACAACAGGTTATGGTGTAAGCATGCCAGATTGGAGTTTTGCTCATTTTTCTGAAACATGTTGTGCAAGTTACAGTTTGTATTAATCGGTCTTCTACAGATTTACAAAGATATAAAATTATGCTTTCATTTGAAAGATGGTATTTAGTTTACTGCCGTTGACAGTTTGCCAAGAAAACAACCTTCTACAGCTAAATTCTGTATTTTTAGAATGCCCTCCTGTTTCCAATATTGATGCGACAAAAAGACTTCTGGAATTTTATCAACAGAAGTGGCATTTAAAATACACACATTACTGCTGTCACAAAAATAGTTCAGATTCAGAAAAAAGAAAGACATTATGTCTAAAGCAGCAAAACACTCTGGTTTCATGGAAATTAACACGAACTCATAAAAGGTGTTTTACAGAAGTATTACTAGGCTTAAATTTAGGCATCTATACCATGAAAAATCTGGGCCTTAAACAATGAAAACCAGTGCCTAGATATAATACACTACTCTTATTCATCTCTTCCAAGATCTCGCCAGGGGCTTGATCTTGAAAGAGAACATGCAAGTCCCTTGGTTTCATTGATCTCTCTGAGACAGGAATAGCTCTTTACAGATACTTCTCTCCATTGACTGTGCAGAGAGACTAAACAACTCACTTGCATAGACTCAGAATACCTTTCAGTAACTCTTATAAGCACCCGTTTTTGCACCAGTTATGAAGCTTATACCTGGAAGAAGTATGACTGGAAAGGCTGATCCTTGTTCTCCTCTTCCACATACAGTCCTCCAACAATGTAGACCTGATTTTGTTTGGTGACTATACTGGAATGATTTCTGGGAATCTGTTCTGCCAGGGCTGCTAGGTAGCATTCGTTTTCAAGAGGATCATAAGCTACTGCAGCAGTGTCATTAACCAGAAGTATTAGGTCTTTGACAAACATGCCATGCCTGGGAAGGTCATTCAGGTAGCCAGGCAGTAAATCTTCATCTCCTACATCACCGTTCACCTCCCCTTTGGTTGACTTTTCTGTACTTTTGCCTGTGTCAGGCAGTTTTCCAGCAAAAGCATCCTTAATAATCTTTACTTTTTTCTGGAGGTCTGAGTTGCTTTTGATTATATCATCCTTCTCAACATGTTCTTTGAAATATTTTTCTGGCATAAGACGAAAACGTATGCAGTCAAAAATTTCCCCCAGGCTCTTTACTCTGTTCTCCTTATCTGTTCGGACCCATTTCATTACTGCTTCAAATACCAGTTCTTCCTTCTCTACATTTAAGCTGTCAGGTGAAATAACTGAGATAAGTTCATGCGGGGCAAGCTGCATGAAGTCCTCCTCTTTGCAGATCTGCACAAAGTGATCTGAAACAAAATCACGGGCAGAAAATGCAAGCCTTGGGCAATCAAGCAGAACACCCAATCGAAGGATGGCCAGACAGTTACCAACAGCAAGCCTCTTCTGAAGGTAGGAGACGCACACAGTGAACACAGAAGGGATCTGAAAGCGACTGGCCAAAGCAAAAATATCTTGCACATTAGAATCATTAAGATCAATACTTGCTGAATAAAGGTATTTGACAATCATATCCAGGATGTTGGGGTCAACATTCTCTAGAACCACCTCCTTCTTTTTCTCTTCATTTTGCTCGGATAAGAAGTACTCACGAAAATAAGGGCTACATGCTGACAGAATCAATCTGTGGCAAGGCAGGCTTCTGTCACCAGCTTTTAGAGAGCAATCTACAAACTTCTTCTCTTCAAGGAGTTCCTTGAGGCCATCCTGAAGAAGGGTGGATTGGTAAAGTCTGAGCTCTTCAGTGAGTTCCCTTTGGGAATCCATTTCACAAACACTTGGGAAAGGGGAGGGAGCAGAAAGCTTTAGCTGTTGTCTGCCCAAAGGTCTGTCTGTAAAAAAGGCAGACCAATGTGCTTTGCCCTGCCTGAAGCCTCTGCAATTTAATCTAGCTAGCTAAATATAGGTACATACTCTTACAGGTCGGAATTTAAGATGGCAGGTTTGGAAAAATAGATCTTCTCTCGCAGCTGTTAAAGAGTGAAAGAAGCAACTGTTGCTTTAGTTGCTATGGTCAGGTTTTGTCACCGTGCTCCACACTGAATCAATGAGATTACGTGCAATGTAAGAAATTACTTGAGATGAGTAAGAACAGCAGAATCTGACCCTCAGTGAGACAGCCATGAGCAAGATTGTAAATATACATGTTACCAAATATACTGAAACAGAAATATTGTTAATCAAGTTGTCAGCTGCAAGTACTGTTCAGTTTGTTTCAGAGTTTCTCAATACTTAAAGATACTGAAAGCATCCAGAACTTCACATCAATTATCTACGCTTTAAAATTATTTTTTTACATACCCATATCACATCTGCGATTTCTTCAGATATTGATAATAAGACTTTGAAATTCATTCCAAGCTTCTTCTTAATATCCTTTTGGTTGTATTTATTTGTAAACTAACTCCTACTACTCAGACATAAAAGATGCATTAGTCAGGTAAAGTTCTGCTTTCAAAAATAATTTAAGTAAGTCTCCACCCCCTTACTAAACATCATTCTTCATTTCAGGTACTCTGGACCTTACCAATCCTTTTAAATTTGACTGTACTAGAAATGGTGCTAACTGCTGTTAAACTAAACCAAAACGAGTACATCAGAACAGTAGAATAGAGAATGAAACACATGGAATCCACCAGTTTAACATTATTTAACAAATGTGTAATTTAAAACACCAAAAAGAGAAATCTGAATTAAAACTAAAAAAGCCCACAATCAGAAAAGTAGTTCGAAAAGTGAATGTGAATTTAGAAAAATTATGCTAATGTTGAACATTTCACAATTTAGACTGGGAACATTTAGATGTTTATTTAAGGTTGTAATCCAGAACCGAAATAAATTTGAAATTTTAAGCTGTTTAATGTACCTTGGTGAAGGGCTGTGTTTTGCCCATACCATGATTGCTTTTTACTCATATGGTAAAATGGTCATTAAAAGTAATAGAAACAGGATCAAAATGCAACTGTTTGAATGCAAGATCTACAGCGAGGTATAACATTATCGATGTTTATTGAAATAGTGACTGCTTTTCAACATAGGCAGTATTTCACTAAAATACATACCTTGAGAGACTTTTGACAAACACCACAATTACATTCACACCACAGTTACTTTACTATTAACAGTCAGCTGCTAAAACAACAGCTGAGAGGAGGGCTCATTTGACTTTTTCCACTTATAGAAAATAGCGTAGAGGTCTTATCTCACTAGAAAACGTAACAGCTGCATCTTCCTTTAAACAATAAATGACTCATTTCTCTCTAATACATAACATCAGAAAGGTCTAATGACTCAGACACAGAAGCTATTTGTGTGTGCACTTTTTTCAAGATCATTCCTTAAAGAAGAGCTCTAGGGAAAAAAAAACAACAAAACCCAACAACAAATACCCAAACACTAAACAAAACATCAAAAAGAAAGAACTGTATGAAGATCTCTGGAATACGATTAAGTAAGTATCTGGAATGATATGTGCTTATGTGCTGAACATTTAACAAGATTATGAGACATCAAAACTAGTATTTGGAACAGTATTGCTCTTCATCAAAGTTTTCAGTGACAGCACAGCTGCAGTGACAGAACCAATATGCCTAGATACAAAATGTTCCGCATATGATAATATTGCTGTGTTGCACAACATTTAACAAGTTATGGACCTCTGATCTAGATGTAATCATTATGGGAAAATACATCACTGTATATAAATACGTGACTACTTTAAATTGAGCATCAAACTATCAACCACACTGCCCTATCTCTAACGGTGGTCTTCATGTGTGAGGAAGAGGAGTCTTTCTTTTCCAACATACTTGCAGGTAAAATGACTAGTGTTAGCTGGTCCTGGCAGCCCATTGCAGGGCAGTATATAAACACATGGGTCATGGAGTTGTAAAATAAAAATAAATAAATGGTGGCTACCTGCCATAAAATGGTGTCTGAAACACCACAGTGGACCCTGTGTTGTTAGGGGAAGGGAGTTCCTGCTCTGACCACCTTCTGGGGCAAGCAGGATGGGATGGCTGGTCCTGTCAGTCACAAGCCTGAAAACACCTGGGTATGAGCGTGTCAAAATCCACAGTCAGCCAATCAAAAGCAGAGTGAAAATGTGGCATATGACATTTTACATAATGGCAGTGGAAATAAAATGGGAAGGGACTTCCAGGTCCTCACAGCCTGACAGAGAGGAGGGACTTCTTGGGGCCTTACAATGTGGGACCAGAGGAAGGGTGGGACTTCTGAGGTTTGTGGAATGTGTGAGTGTCTGCAGGGGGCACGGCCTCCCCCAGCAGCTGGGGCCCTGCCCCTTCTTACATTAGATACTGGTAGTCCTCCAGCTCTTCACACAACGTAATAAATACAACACTTTTATACATACAAGGGTTTTAAATAATCTTTCATTTATGACATATCCTGAGGGCATACCATCCAATATTTGCCCACTCTTTGGCATGTTCTTTATCTGTTACTCTGGTATTTCTAAATCATCTTCTACAGATCCCACAAGCCCAGTAAGAACTGAGAGTCTTTCCTTGCTTAAGAAACAAATATGTGACAATCTGAATCAGGGTATTACTTCCCAGAGTCCCTGGAGTGTGAATCCATCCTTTAGCTTCTCTATTGCAAGTCCTAGTTCTTCTGAAAAAACAGGCTCCCCATCATGTTGCTTTTTGGAATGCACGAGGTATAAGAGAAAATAAAGCAGAAGGTACTTTTTAATTTTCTTATCCCATTTTAACAACATGAATTTGATAGTATGAAAGAAGCTGTTCTTACCTTGTTTTCATCAGCAAAGTAAGCCTGCAAAAGAAAGGTAAAAAAAACTCAAAATGTTGGGAAAAAAAGTCTAAAGCCAAATCTGCTAATAATTCCTTGGGGTTAAAACTGTATTTGCTAAGCTGTCTTCAACAAACCAGTCTGTGTAAGAACAGGGTTTTTTCTATGTTGAAATAGAGAGTTCTAACAGGAGTTGGTGCTTATGTTGTTTTTCATTAAATACCAATCTTTGAGGTTTCCATCATAATAAACAAAGATTTTTAAATGGTAAAATATCCATATTATGTTTGTTACACTGAAAAATAAAGGGAATAAAATGTTAATATGAATACAGACTGACAGCATCCTAGCATTTCTTGCCTCATGTGCAGCAGCATCTACTATTCAATTTCAAACCCTAACTTAAGTATCAAATGTCAGTTATCATCATATTCAATCTAAGAAACAAACACAGAGTAACTGTGATTAATTAACCAGATTTTTCTACTCTCAGACAGAATCTGGGAAAGAGCTACAATCTTTCCCATTCTGTGTGTGGAAATTAAGTCTCAAACTCTTCAGGGTATCAGGTCTCAGTGACGTAGTCAGGTGTTAGATTGCAGAGTAAATTCGGAAATTCCTCGGAAGAAGGGCATGAAGTAATCTCATTCATTTAAAAGTAATCTTTCCTCAAACACTGGAGACAAACAGGAATGCAGTTTGCTAAACTGGTATTGTTAGGAGCGCAAAGGTTGTCAGGAGTGACCCAAAATTGCTGCTTTTCTAAAAATCTTTCAATCAAAAAGTTTGAATTTCAGATGAATGCTGAGGATATAGATAATACCATCTATTAATCTGCTCCAAGAGAAGGAAGACTTGTTTTAATTTAATGTATTTGTTTATATTATATTATACTGCTAGTTTTCAAGTTATTCCTGATCTTAATGTGTTGAGAAACTACACACAACTATTACTTTAAATACTTACTACTAATTATATTGAATAATAGTTTGTTCTTAAATTAAAAAATCCATACATAGAATAAATACCTGCAGTGATTAGCACTTTGAATAAAAGGCGTGTAGATGTGTTTTAAATATAGAAAGTTTGGTTGTAGCTTATCTTTAAAAGAGGATTACAGCTTTACAGTTGAATAACCAAACAAGAAGTATTTTACCACAGCTTACCACAAATGCATCTGTATGCTCGTCAGCTTCTATTTCCACATCATCTTGAACCTGCTCCACAGTTAGATCTTCAAGAAGTTGAGGCTGCAAATTAAAACACTGAAGTAAGTAAATCATAGAATCATAGAATGGTGTGGTTTGGAAATGACCTTGAGATCATCTAGTTCCAATCCCCCAAGTCACAGGCAGGGAAATACACATATCTAATATGTTTAATACATTTTTATTACTGCTGTTAACACAATAATGTACCTAATTTAAGTAGTAGAGTACCTTTTCTTCCATTTCATAATCCACTCCAAATATAGGGTTAGCAGAATAAACTCTGTGAAGTGAATTAATTTCTTTCACTGCTTCCTGTAGTTTCTCCACAGGGTCTATTTTAAAACCAAGGACATATCCTCCACTCTATATAACAGAGAAAAAAAACAACAAAAAACCCTACATTTACTGGTATTGCTTATTCTTTAAACAACTTTTTTCTCCATTATAAAAATGGGCAATAAACTTTTTGCATAGAAAATCAAAAGCAAACGGGTGGGAGAAATTCAGAAGTGATACTAATTCAGAAGTGATACCAAGTGATTTATTCCTAGCTACTCAGAAAACGTTTAGTCTGTTAGAGCTTGATGTTGTTATTAAAAAAGCTTTCAGATACAGTACATAAAGTTAGTTGAACTTTAAAAATAAATCCTACCATTAAAACCATTTCTGATTAAGGCCAAATTGAAGAAAAGTAATTTTGTCTCTTAGAGCGAAACACATACAGAAGTGAAAAAGAATAAAAATAGTGGTCTTGATTAAGTATAGAAGTAATCAGATCCCAAAAATAATCTGACAGGAAATACTGTTTAACACTATTATTATGAGTTATTTTAGTTAACCAGTCATGCTGACTTATTGCTGCTTTGCTTAGAGAAACTCTAACTCACAACAGCCGTATCGACCAAAACACACAGACATTTTAAGCAGTGCAGAGGGCTTTTCAAAAGCTGTGTTCAAAAGGCCCCAGAGGAGGAATACTAAATACCTTAAAAGTAGCCCTGTAACATTTTGGAACTAGGCAATTATTATATATGAAAATGTAATCAATGAAAAAAAAAGCCTACTGAAGGTTCTTACCTGCTGAGAACTCTCTATCACAAGCGCCAAGCCAAACTTTGAGTCTCTTATTTTTATTGAACGCTAATGGTAAAGAGGCAAAAATGTTTTGTTAAAGATTTTGGAATTACTTGATAAAAATCTGCTTTATCTTTTTCTTTTCTTTTTTAAACACTACTTATTATAATTACTGGTTCTGAAAGCTTGGCTCCCAGCATTCCCTCCCATTTACCACTACAAATCTGAACCTCAGGGAAGAGTGTCTTTATCAGGAGTAGTAACAGTTCATTTCTGAACATCAGGTTCACAGATCATTAATCCCAGTGTACACAAGTGGCATGAGGAATCACCCTAAATAGTTTGAAAATTGGAAATGCAAGCCATTTTCAACATCTGTACCTGCCAGTAAAAGCTCCCAGTTAATCTGGACAGGAAAAAAACAACCCAACCCAACCCCCAACGAAACAACAAAAATACCCCAACAACAAAAACCCACAAACACAAAAACGCCTACACCCCCCCCCCCCCCCCCCCCAAAAAAAAAATCTAAACAAACAACCCTACCCTTTGGTTGATGCTAGTAAGAATAAATTCATCCCTGACTGTGGGACATGAAATATTAATTTTGGTCAGCTGGGAGTTTTAACTGAATACTTGAACTTATGCCAGTTCATTTTGAAAATGGTTAAGACACTTACGATTTGTAGATACGGTATGCTGACATTAAAGCTGTCATTCATATTTGCATGCCAAACTATTCTCACATTAGTAATAAAAAATGTTCCCAAATTTCCCTATTAAAGAAAAGACATGTGAAAACTGCTCTGAAGTATACAGCCTTTTTTTTGTTCCAAATACAATGATTACTGTTATCCATTCAAACATGAGCAGGACACGGCTTCATATTTAATTCAATAAAAGCCTGATTATTTCGTACCAAAACCAGTAAAAACGCTTCTGTTGATTGTAAGGGAACAAGAGCCAATCTTCAAATGATACAGTGCCCAAGTGGTGAAAATAGATGGTAGCACCCATTACTGCAACTAAGCAGGATCAAATCACAGCATAGCAGACCTCATGGGAGTACATGAAGCGTCTGAGCGTGTTCTTAACTGTACAGATCTGGAATTGGCGTATAGTGTAAGTACAATGGCATGTGGGTTAAACTTAGGCAATTGTGGAGATGTGCGCCAAGGGAACGTAGAGGACAGAACTTTTTAGCTTGTTAGGATGGATCTTATTTCCATTCTGGAATAAAATTGCACAGGAAGAAATAACAGCTCCCATTTTGTTTCATGGCTCTGGGAAATACTTGCAACTAATGCCCTGTAAAAGAATATAAATGTTTTCTATTTTTTCCTTATTAGTCTTTATTTTTCCATATTTTAAGACATAGATTCCTATTCCAATGTTTTCAATTTCCAGCAATCAAAAGACAATATAGTCTTACACTGCAGTCAAAGCTGCATGTAAATTTACAGATATTCAGAGGAGCACTCTGGAAACAACATGATTGTCCTACAGGATGATACTGAGCTTTAAAGACAAATATATCTTTTTAACAGGAACTGGGTATCTAGTTCCTTGCATATTAGCAATGTCATGTAGACTTCATGTTGCCAAAAGCGACTTTGTTGTACTGAGTAACAAATACATGGGATCAGCTTCCCCACACACATCAGCTGATGAACTGAATTAAGGGTAATTCCTCTGAGGTTACAAAACCAAAACATTGAAAGACAAAACATTTTAATGTTGCTATAGTCAACATAGTCCCATTTTTTACTATACCTGGTCACTTGACAAATTCCAGACTCCATTGATTTTATCATATATTTGTTCTTGTGGTAGTAATCTCAGTTGCTTGTTTTGAATCAACGCACTTCTCAGCTTCAGATCACGATACATTTTTGAAGTTTCATAAGCTCTGCAAAAAATAAAAAATAAATGTCACCATTTAAGCATTTTCTACTATCTTTACTGTTTGTTTCAGCACCAATATGACATGGTGTATATTTTCAACTTTTTTATCACCATGTTGCACAAAAATGAAGAGTACTATTGAAACTTCATCAGTATAAAACATTACATTTTACTTTTCCTAAGTGAAGTTATCTTTAAATGTAAAAGTTTTTTTTTGGCATCTGTTTTGATCTCCTGTACTCCTCATGTGCATACTATTTCTTTCTTAAGACTAATCTCCCAGACTTCATTGCAAAGAATAAGTCTTCTGGGTCCCATGTTATAGAAGAATTGTTTTATCACTGCTTAAGTCACAACCAACCAATATATATACACCTGTTTTCCTCAGCTCTTAAACAGAAACCTATGGTAATGTTTTATGTACCAACTCATCCAGATGATTTATCTTCAGGTGGGAAACATCCACTGTTTTGTGATCAATTAGAGTTTTGACCAGGATCTAACTTTTTTGGGGGGGGGACCATTAAGTGGTCCAAAATTACAGTAAATTATTATAGACAGAGAATACAGGTAGAAAATGCACACTGAAATTAGCTCTTTGTGGTTTTATCTGTTCCAATAGTTTGTACACACAAAGTGTATAAACTGTGATCAATGACTGGTATTACTCAACATTAATTTTCATTATGCACGGTTACCTACTAGAATACGTGATCATTCTCTCCCTTCCTTCTAGAGATTGTGTTCTACTCTGTTGGGAAAGTTTTCTGAATGTTAAATAAATAATTGTATATTAACATATGGTGTTATATACTTGGTCTATCAGCAGTAGTAATCCCACATATTTAATTAATTGAATTTTATAAATGAACAAATACTATTTTAAGTATGCTACCTGTGCACAGCAATAACTGAAGTGAAGAGTCTGGGACTCCCGGGGACAACATTGGTAAATATGAACTCAAACCGGGTATTGTTACATTTAGTCAATATATACAGAGCTTCTGTCTGCCCTCGTAATTTCTGTAAGGGAGAGATGAAATTTAGCATTTTGACAATACAGTAGCTTGACTGTACTTGACATAAATAATCTTGACATATTTTATAAATTCTTTGTCTAAATAGTATATCTGAATATGTAATCCTGATTCTACCACTGCTCTACTGCTGTCTTCAACTGAACTAGGGTGTGGTTTTTTTTTGAGAAAGTAGCAATTCCATCAACAGTAGAATTATGAAGCCTGCCTGCTATATAATTGCAGTATTATGACTGAAACAGTATTTTTGTGTTTGTTACTATGTAGTTGCCCAGGGGAACCTGCATAATCTCCCCTTCTTTGCTTCACAGTTGTATGAAATTCAGGCTATATATTGAAGAGCTTTCTTGCACAAAATTAGTGCCAATCTAGACTTTTGTTAAATTTAGACACAATGAACCAACATGTGCTTGACTTATCTAGAGGGGAGAAGAAATCACCACTGTGATTATACCAGTTTTACTGCCCTAGGAAGCTGACTAAACCCACACTCCCATAAAAATGTACACTCCCAACTTGTAAACTAAACTTCCATTATTATTCGATTACTGTTCTTGCACGTAAATTTTCAGATTATTATAGAAATACACTGCAATAGGTACAAACAATGAATTACAGCTTTATTATTTTAAGAAGTTTTTTTTGAAACTTACTGAGTTGGCAGTTCTTGTAGTTATATTTATAATGCAATTGTAACCAACAGCTAAAAGTTAAGGGAAGGGAAAAAAAAAGAAAAGAACAGTTTTGAGAACAAGAAAAAATAAGTCAAAATAACCAAGTACAATATTGAATTTTGTAGCACGGCTTTGGATGCTATTTGTGAGAATTACAGTGTGGTTAATGGTCTGGGAACTTACCACAAAATCAAAGACTAATCTAAGTTGGAAAGGACCTTGTCCTTTTTGTACCAGGTTATACGGTCCAATGCTTTTGTCAAATCAGGACCAACTCTCAGGGTACTGCTCAGGGTACTGTCCAACTGAGTTTTGAATATTTCCAAAGAAGGACATTGCACAACCACTCTGCGTTATGAACAGAATACAGATTTTCAGTATTGCCTGGCTATTAGGAACTTAGCAATTAAAATAATTTGGGCACAAAGTAAGGGCAAATTAAACTAAATATTTAATTTAATATTTAATTTAGCCCTGTTAGCTACTCATACAGTTAAAATTAGAAGCTTGTTCAGAGCTTACAACAGTAAATCTGGAAATGCAGGTATTCGTGGGGAATAAAAATTGTAGGACAATATTGAATGTGAGTAGCAGACAGGTGGCAACAAGAAGTACAAGTAAGATGTAAAGAATCTCAAACTTTTCTTTCTTTTGAGAAAAAATAATCCCATTTATGCCAAATGAAAAATATGCCTGAAGTACTCTTCCACTTCTATTTTGAGAAACTAACATTGAATATTAATAACAGTTCCTAGATTACAAACAGATTCATTAGTAATAGTTTATTTCACACTTCACAGAGCAACAGAACTATACCTTACTATTCTATACTGTAATCAGTACAGTTGTGAAAGACCAGTATGCCCCTATAAAGGAAACAAGAACTTTGCAGTTGTTTAACAGGAGATGATACTTACAGAGATTGACTCTGGGCAATGACAGTGAGCGCCAAATAATCCGCAAATTTGTCACAAGCAGTCTACCTGGAAATAAGGAGTGTAAGTATTTTTAATCTGAGGAATTTCAATTCAATTAAATGTCCCATTCTGCAGTACATTACCTCTAGACTTGAAACAACAGAATAGTCCTTCCTCTTGACAGGAGAAAAAAAACAAAAGCACAGGACACCCCAGCAGAAAAATCACAATGCTTTTTTCTCTTGAATGCTCAGAGAGAAAATCCAGCAAGGAACAGATGGAACAACCTCTCATATATATAAGCATTCCTCAAAACCAAACCAAGAACAGTTACTGACTTCACATCCGCCTGCCTATGGTAAAATTGCAAAGACACAACCAGTACAGAACTGCTCTGGGGAGGAGAAGGGGAAGGCAGTGAGTTAACTGTCGCAGCTGTCTTCATGAATAACCTCACCCCTCTATGTCACATGCAAATTTCTTCACTTCTATACCCTCTACAGTAACCCATCCAACCCCAGGAAGGGTCATCTCAGCTCGCTGGCAGCTTCATGACCTTGCACACTAAATAAATATATTCCTTACTGATTCAGTTTGAACTAGGTTACAAAAAACCTAAGTATTAAACAGGATTACAGCAAAAGATCACCACGATGTTTATAAATGGATTATACTTACAAAGCTTTCAATTCTAAACAAATTCTGAGACAATATTATTACCTTCCTGTAACTTTGAACAAGAGATCCCATTTGAAAATACTCTAAGGGAAGACAGATCTGTGAAAAAGGTAGGACTTATTACCTGCAACAGAACATTGCTACTGAGTTCAATGGAAACCAGACAGGGCTTTTAAGAACTTATACACATTAAATATTAGAAAGTTTACAATTTCCCTGAGTATGCAGTTACCTCTGTCTCCATTGTTTCCTTTGGTATCTTCAACAGACTCTAAGCAGTCTATAAGGATCTCTCCAGGTCTCATTTTCATTTGTCTAAAAGAAAAAAAAAAAAAGGAAGAAAAAGAACCCCTAATGAAAAACAGATTAGATTTATGCTCTAAAAGGCCATTTCTATTTTCCCACTTTGCTCTTCTTCCTCCTTTTTCTGCTTAGTGCATCCTATGTACAATGAAAAATATATACATGCACACAAACACACAAATCAACATTATATACCTGAAATTGATATCACTACATCTGGCATATGAAGAATATTAATACCATCATCATCCAATTATAACAATAAGTAATTATGTAGCGAGTGTGCTCAAGCAAACTATACCCCAAAATTGGGAGTATAAAGTATGTGAACATAGGAGGGAAAAATCCAAAAAGTTGCATTAACATCTTTTTTTTGATGGATAGTTTGTTGCCCCTTGCTGTACTTTTAGGTCATAGGGAATGGAGTTAGGCATGAGAAAGAATAGTTGCCAGCAAAGGAAATATCCACAAAGGGTATGGTTTGTTTTTTGTGTGTGTGGTTTTTTGGTTGGTTGGTTTTGTCTTTTTGTTTGTGCTGTTGTTTTTTTAAATTATTATTATTTGGTTTGTTTTATTCTGCTTTATTTAACTGGTCTAACTACTTAAATACATGTGAAATTTTGCTGTATTTTACTTGTATTGTGTAAAGCGGCCAAATCTCTTCAGTGTATTGGCATGACAGAAATAAAATACATTATCAGGAGTGGAATTCTGTGAGAGACTCTAAGACTACTGAAGATCAGGATCAAGACACAAAGTATGGACTCAATAATACATCACTAGAATAGCACAAAAGACATTAGAGTGGAGGTAGCAAGAATAGCAACATCAGCATTAAATATGGAAGCAAGCTCCGTCTACATGACGATTCTACAAGAAACTAAAGACAGAACTGCTTAGACGTCCAAGACACAATTTCATGTTTCTAAAAATACTGCAGACAGCGTGTCTAGAGGTCAAAGAGTATTCTCAGTATGGTCAAATGAGTAGGAGCAAGATGAAGTGTGATAGCACACTTTCAGCCTCCATCCCCAAAATCATCAGCCAGCTGCTAATTTGTAGCTCCGTATTACAAAAGCTATGCAAGGTTTTGCCACAGAAACCAGAGCATAAATTTTATGTCTCAGACAAAGTTCACAGCTCATGAGAGGTCAAGGTCCGCAGGAGCGAGGAAGCACGGTGTCTCATACTAAAACCAAACCACAGCACTGTACCTGCTACTAGGAAGAAAATTAACTCTCTCTCTGCTGAAACCAGGACACAGCTGCCACAGGGATGTGACAGCCCTTCAGCTCTGGCCGCTCTGCACAGCCACTGTCCGCTTCCGTGCGCTCAGGCTGCCGACACCACGGCAGCGACAAAGAGCCCTGTTACCAGCGACTGGAACCATGCCCTCAGGCACTGACTTTTGTTTCAACGCCAGCTAACGCTAGGAACAGAACACCCTTCCCTCAGTCCTCCAGTATCCAACCTTTATTATTTTCCCTTTTCTTTATAGATTGGAAACGGTGACTACACTCCACTTAGCAAGACCTCCCCATTCAACTCGCCTGAGCCCCAAGGGCCACACAACCCCTTTCCCGCCCTCACAGAACATGACAGCTCCCCCCTCCGCGCCGCCGCACTGGGAAGGATCCCAGCATACACCGCAACACTAATGGCGGTCGCGCTCAGCCCTTGGAGAGACAGCTCTCGGCCTGCTGACAGCTGCCGGGCTGGCCCCGAAGCCCCGCTGCAAGGGGAGAGCAGTGCAATGGCACTCACTGCGGGGAGATGTCGAAGCGGACATCTCTGTCCTCCCACAGCACGTCCAGCACCGCGCTCATGGCAGCCAACCGCGGCGGGGCGCAGCGACACAGCTCTCTTTCCGCCGAGTCCGCGCGTCGTGCTGGCAACGGGGGTGATGCCTCGCGCTCCCTCAGCGAGCGGGATTGGCTGTGGTGCTGCACGCGGGGAGGGAACCCTCTCTCCTGCCCGCCCTCGCCCCGCCCCGCCCCGCTCTGGTCTGAGGTAGCGGCCGCAGGTGGCGACAGATGGGGATGGTTCCTGTCACTGGGCAGTTTGGTGTGTTCCTTGAGCTGGCCGTCGTGCTTGCGGGCGGCCCGGCGGCGTGGAGGTACAGCCCCGGCAGCGCCAAGTGCTCCTTGGCCTTTGCGAACGTTCTGTGAAGGAGAGTGGAATGCTCTGAGTCGTTGGAACATCCCGTTCAGTAGTTCCAGCTTTTCCTCTCGTCTTAGCTTTGCCTGGTACAAGGCAACAGCTGTATTGCCGTGGAGGATTGTTACGCCAATTCCCTGTACAGTTAGGAAACCTGAAAACTGTGAAATCTTCACTCAGTAAATTGCAGCTTTAAGTCCTATGTTGGTTCTTGGTGAGGGTTTTTGTCTGTGGGCTTTGTTGTTGTTTTTTGTTTGTTTTTTTTTTGGGGGGGTGGTGTTTTTTTTTTTTACTAAATGTGATGTATTTTTAGTTTGAAATAACTTGAAAATTGTATCCAGCTGAATTTTAATGGCAGTAGCCTACCAATTAAAAAAAAATTAAGTATGAATCATAGGAAAAAAACTCGATGTTTGGCAGGTTGTTTCCTGGAGCTGGTCTCTGAATTGGTGAGGAACCCATTGAAACCCACCTGGAAGTTGATGCAAACTTCATGAAGTAAAAAACATTGCAGGTGCTGGCCATCCCTTCTCCTCTCCCTCTGCCCATGTGAAAGGCAATGTTTTGCCACATCTAGGCAGGCTCACTGCTGAGGGTCTTCAAGTAGGAAGGGTAGTGGGTCTTCGGCTTGAGGCCACATTCCATCTTTTGTTGTTGATATGCTGAACTTCCCATGTGTTCAGGAAAAAAATCCTCGAACCCAACCAAAAGAGATTGTCAGGTTTCATATGCAGGAGTGCCTGAGAAGTTCAGTCTTGTTAAGGGCTATGTCAGAAAACCAGTTACCTAATCAGGAGCACATTACACAGTAGGTGTAATTTAGCTGTGAGAGAAGCTTTTAGTCCTGTAAAAGTACCATTACCCGTTCTCTGTCCTGGCAGTAAACCTAGAAATGTTTTATTAGAAAAAAGCTTTTAAGTATACAAGTCAAGTAAAAGGAAATACATCATATACAGGCAGACATAAAGGTAAAAAGCAGTATGTCAGTGATAGACAATAAAGAATACACTCTATGATGTGTTTCAATGCTTTGAACAGAAATTTAAGAGTTTTTTTAGAAAGATGAAAATATTAAAATGCATTTAAAATTTTGACTTGGCTTTCAGAAGGGAAATGAATTGATGACCACTTTAGACATGAACTAACCTAATTTAGTGATGCCAGCTATTGTTATAATCACTCATATAAATCAATGGATGTGCTTTAACTGCATTTGTCCTGTATCTTGCTAGCTAATGGAAACTGAGGAAAGTTTACAGGAAAAAAGGACTAAATGTAACTATGATGTGATTGGGAAAGGTGGGCTGCTGAGCCACCTCCCCGTCTTGTGACCCAGAGAGCACACAGGCCACAAGTTGATGCATTTGCTGTATTTATGTTTTATATTTATATTTGCTGTATGTTCTGAGTAGCACTTTGCAAATAATTTGGAAATTGGTAATTTATGCTTGAAGTATTAAAATAGGATTTATGGGAATACTTGTGCTTTAAAAAAGTGAAATCTTCATTGCAGTATTCATGCCAAACATCAGATGCCTGTAATAGAAAATAAATTACATCATTTTAATGACCAAAAATTCTTTCAAAAGCCATATATATATAATTTTAAATGAAGTATAGTTAGTGATTATACAATGGTAGTATTTAAAGATCTAAAGAAGGGTAATTACTACAACAAATGCTATACTGGCCTTACTATATCTAAGTAAAAAGGAAATTTTGTACTCCTGATACTGATGAAAAATTGCTGTTTGTTCCATAAAGACTACATCATATGATATGCAAAAGGAGTTTAAGTGATCTCGCACAGGTATACTTTTTTTTTAATCAATGAGCATATGAATTCAGAATGTTAATATTCTTTAAATCAGTGTGTTTGTTTTTACATACCATGCTGGATACTTGATAACAAACCCAAACAATCAATATCTTTAACTTGCGCTTTGTTAATGTAGAGGTAAATTCCTACCTCCAGCAAAAAATACACAAGCCTCTCTACATTCTTCTTCACTCCCAAAGCGGTTTCCATTTCCACCACAGCCACCGTACCAAAACTGAGCACAAGCATTGGCTTGTTTATCATAGTACCATTTTATGATATAAACACGGCATGGCCCTTGATCCAGCCTTAACTTGCACCTGAGGTCCATGTCTGAAATAAAGGAAAAAAGGAATAGAAAAAAATCAGTTTGTAAGAGTCAAATTGTATTACATAGATTTTAACTTTCAAACTCTGATTTGATTTTATTTTTTCTGCTAATGTATATAGCAGTTTGAGATTCACTTTTGCTTCTAAAGATGTTATCATTGGAGGCAAGTTAAAAGTGCATCTTAGTAGGTCAAATAAACCATTTCTTTACTGGCATGGTTCTAGTAACTCCAAAAATAATAGTATTATAGCTCCACATACAAGAAGAGCAAACAATATGAATCTTACAGTTTTGAAATCTGATTTTTAAAATCTAATTATAAGCAACCAGTCTTGTGAGCAACCCAGAAATGTAAGCTGAAGAGCTGTAAGCTTGTTGCATCTGCTATTTTCAAACCACAACTATGACCATCATCCTTCTGCAGTACATTGCTTCAGTACATTAGTTCTCTTTGTGGTGTGGAGGAAGAGGCATTAGTATAGTGAGAAGAATATAAAAGTTTATTCTTCATTTTGTGCTAGTTGTTGATGGTTGTGCTACTTACACAATGGTAGTAATTATGTAGATACTTAGTTAAGTTTGAACGTAAAGTTTCTTGGTCTAATGATTCCTACAGGTAGGCGTTAGAGGACTGTGATCCTAATCTAGTTTCACTCACTTTAATAATTCCACGAGACGGAAAACACTTTTCCTTCAAATTTAATATTGTGACATCAATTTTGCATTGGAATCTAGTATCTTGACACCACTTTTTAAAAATAAAAGTTATTGCCAGAGACAGAATAATAGTCATGCCCATGTTCCTAAGAAATGGGAATATGTTTCTACTGCTCTCTTCTGTTGCTCCCATCATAATGGACTATTACTGGAACTGGTATGAATCCCCCAAATGATGAACACATTTAGACATTTCATATGAAAATAATCCTTTGAGCAGTGAGCTAATTACTATAATTTCCTTCAAATGACTAAACGCCATTTTTCCTTCTTCTCCTGTGAATGAGAAAACTATTCTTCCTGTTCAACTCTGAAATTATTATCTTCTCTGTCTTTAATGAAGCTTCCCGTCTCCATAGACTGCCTCTTCTTGGCTGACAAATTACCTGCTCACTGGCCCACCTCAGTTAGTTAGCACTGTGGTCTTTTTTTTTTTTAATGTCATCTATGAGTTCTGTCTCAGGTTGACCTTGCTTTTACTCTAAGTGGAGCAGTGGGATCTGGAATTTCGGAAGACAAAAACTGCAACTAGATCTGTATAAAATCCTGATACGGATTCTCTTCCACAGATTGGCCTCATGAAGTTTTAAGAGTGTGGAACAAAATTACTCTGATTTAAAGCTTTAGAAAAAAAGTTAGTATCAGGAGAAAAGGCAATAAAATGAAAAACTAGTTATGATCTATAACCTGTTCTTGGTATGAGCGCTGCGGTTGAAAGGGATGATGTCATCACTTTGTCTGATGATGATGGTTTAGATGGCAATAATGGTACTGCAGCTGCAGGCAAAAAGAAACAGAATGAGACACTGATTTTTGACCAGCCAAAAATGAAGAAATGAATGATGATAAAAGTACCTCCAGTGTCCACTGTCAGCAAGGATGATTGTTCCTCCTCCTCTTGTTCCTCTTCGTAGGCTTCATACACTACTACAGGAGGTACTTTGGTCTGAAATAAGCATTTAATTTTCTTTGCTTTTCAGATATTGTGAAATGTCTCAAAATAAACAAGCCCTTCATCATTTAAAGGTTTTCTTATGTTTTTCCTTCCCTGATTTCAGTGTTAAGAATCAGGATTTTAACCTCACCTGGCTGGTTTACCAGGAGAATTGTCAATCCTAAACCTGGGATATATGATTTTTAATTGACCTTTACAGAATTTTATTTATAAACTTAAAAATATAGACTGCAGTTGAGTTTAATTACTATTCTTAGACTTAGTTATTACAGTGTAATTACATTTTAATAATGTTATGTTTCACACTGTGCCACAAATATTACTGCATTAAACACAGGAGTAATAATCCTTGTAACAGTATCAGGAATAAATTATAGCCATTAGACAACTGCCTGTATGCAACATCAGAACTCTTACATGGGACAACCAGTTCCAAGCATACCAAGTTAAGGAAGCTATTATAATACCTGTCTTGTAGAAAAGTAGAAGGAAAGTTACATCAGGCAACAGAGAAGGATATCTACAAACATCAATAAAACTTTTGCTCATTAAAGCTGAGTTTTCATACCGGAGCTAACGGTTGAGGAAGATCAGCAGGACTCAGAGGACTTTCTACTGTAGATACTCCAGGTGTCTGTACTGAAAGAGACTGTCTATTAACATTGTTGTTCTGAAGTATGTACTGTAAAGAAGATACTGAATGGAAAGACTGTCCACTTAGGCTTGCACCATTTCCATTACGGTTGTATATTAAGGTACCATGTTCATCTTCACAAAACTGGTTGACTAATTTGGATTCCAGAGCTGTTAAAAAAAAAAAAAAGGTAAAAACCTCATCATACTGAGAAATGCAATGTACTTTGTGAATTATTTATATGCATAAATAATACACATGTAATCCAGTATTTCTTTGGATTATTTATATGCATCTAAGATTATTCCATGTTCTCTGGACTGTGGCTTTTATATTTCACAAATTGACCAGCCTGTAAG